TAAATTAAAGGTCTCTATTCGAAGTGTAAATCTTATTCGCTTCTTTAGTTTGAACCTTCAGACTCTCCGTATTTACATCCTGTGTAGCCAATATGGCGGCGTGCGGTTAGCCAGTTAGCTTGATGCACCTGGATTTTACATTATCATCATTTTAATCAAATATCCATGTTTGTTGGCGGCGTCGGTGTGAAGCGGCTCGTTGCAGGATTCGTGTGAAATAGTTTAAAACTCTGTAAATTGTGTGTTTTGTTGAAACGCTGATGTTTCCTCACTCCCGTCGCCGTGCTAACAGCTAGCCGCTAACTCCGCTCGCTCGCCCCGGGCGGACCGCCGCCCGCTGCCGGGGAAACACTGATGCCATGGCGGAGGCGGAGGAGCTGCGGCCCGTCCCCCGGGAGAGAGCCATCCTGGAGAGCTTCTTCACGCAGCTCGGCATGTTTTCTTTCGACCGGGCCAAAGACTACGTGGAGAAGGAGAAGGACAACAGCAGGAGCTCCGGGCCGATCTGGGCCGCGCTGCTGGCGGCGCTGGCGCATCTGTCCGCCGCAGAGAAGGCGTTTCACAACATGACGTTCCTGGGTCAGAAGATGGGTAAATACTTTATATTATATTAATATTCAAACTCTGCTGAGGATAAACTGTGTACAAGTATATAAAGAGCAGCAGCTGTGATGTAAATACTTTATATTATATTAATATTCAAACTCTGCGGAGGATAAACTGTGTATAAGTATATAAAGAGCAGCAGCTGTGATGTAAATACTCTGATTATTATCATTTGCTTCTTTTTAATGTGCTTTGTTTTTGTGTAGTTTGAGAACCTCATGTTTTAAAATCTTCTTGAATCTCGTTGAACATCATGAACAGCTCTGGTTCTGCCACCAGATGGCGCTGGTCTCACATGAACGCCATAAAAAGTAATCTTATGGTATTTTAGTCCATTTTGCAGCGGCAGCTTCTTCCTCCTGATAAACAAACGTTCAGAGGTAAAAACACAACCTCCTGACTGAGGAAGCTAATGGATTCTTCTACCTTCTCTCCGCAGGAGGTCAGTCCTTCTTCAGCCGCAAAGACTCCATCCGCACCATCTACACCTCCCTGTTCAATGAGCTCCGGAAGGTGGTGACGATGGGGCGTCACAGCCAGCCCAGCTCCACCTCCTACCTGGAGGACCTGCTGTCGCACCTGTCGGAGCAGCTCTGCCACTTCACCCAGGCCCGCATGGAGATGGCCGACCTGTACGAGAAGATGCACTCGCTGGGCAGCCAGAAGAGCATCAACTCAGACGAGCTGGTCACCACGCTGGAGGCCGTCCTGCACAAGTACAGCTCCAAGTGAGTGAACTGTTTGAGGACCACGTTCATCCTGCAGCGGTGGAGAGAAGTACTCTTACTCAGGATCTGTACTTTTACTTCAGTCTTCTATTTCAATACAATTCAGGTGGAAATGTTTTACTTTCTCTTCACTACATCGATTCACCGTGTGAAGATTTTAGTGTTGATGCTTCGGTGAGATTAAAGAAAGTCAAGGAGCGAGCGACAGTTTGAGGTTAGAGGAGGAGAAGTTTCTGCTTCATCCGGCAAAGTCCAACTTTTCCCCAGAGACGTGTCAGCGAATCCGAGTTGTGCAGCTTTAGCAGGAACACAAAGTGCAGGAGGAGGAGGAGGAGGAGGAGGAGCTGTGGACTGAGCTGCAGCAGGTCGCACTGTGACACACCACACATCACTAATTTAACTGTGTGCACTGGAGCGTAGAGGTTCTCATCAGTGTGTGTGTGTGTGTGTGGGGGGGGGGGGGCTGAGCTCAGATTCAGACTAAAATGCAGAGACAGCAAAGAGACAAAGAGACGTCTTTCTTCAGGTCACAATAAATTATTGTCTTCACTTCTGTTTTCATGTTTAACGACCATCTTCCTCTCCCTCCAGATTCCATCACCCCATCCTGGGCCGCGTGGAGGAGGGCTTCCAGACGGAGGTGGACGTCGTGACCCAGTTACTGCGCTGCCAGGCTCAGGTGTCGGAGTGGCACTTCCTGCCGGCCCTGCTCAGTCTGCACGGCGCCAACACCAAGCTCACGGCCTGGGGTCAACTCTTCCAGCGGCAGAAAGAGACGCGCAAGCATCTGTTCGGAGGTCAGTCCCAGAAGGCCGTGCAGCCGCCGCACCTGTACGTGTGGCTGCAGCGCTTCCAGGCGGTGCTCCTCGCAAAGTTCAGCTTCTACTTCCACGAAGCTCTGAGCCGGCAGACGGCGCCCGCTGACATGAGAGCCCTGACGGCCCGCACCACGCAAGATTACCACGGCAAGATCTGCACCTTCATCCGCAAACACGACGCCAGCAACGTGTCGCTGGTGTTTGACAACCGTGGCTCGGAAAGCTTCCAGGGCCACGGCTACCATCACCCGCACTCGTACCGGGAAGCACCGAAGGGCGTGGAGCAGTTCCCCGCCGTGGTGTCCCTGCCTACGGGAGAGCGGCCGCTCACGCACTGGCCAAACGTCATCATGATGATGGGCGACCGCGCCGCCGAGCTCAACACTCTGGACAAGGTGGTGCACTTCTACGACGATAAGGTCCAGAGCACGTACTACCTGACGCGGCCCGAGCCGCACTTCACGCTGGTCGTCATCTTCGACGGCAGGAAGTCAGAGAAGGATCTGCACATTGCCGCCTTCCTGCAGGAAATCTCCAGCTCGCTGCGGAACTCTAAACCCTTCAGCATCCTCAAACCCGGCTCCAAGGGCTGAGCAGACGGAACAGGAAGTCGAAAAAGACGGAACTGATGATGAACTAAAATGAAACCGGCTCAGATAAGAATATCGATGCACTAAAATCCTTCGTGTTGATTTGAATCTCGTTTTACCGAAACGTTTTCAGACCAAAGAGATTTAGTTTCCTCTCAGATCCTGACAGTTTGTTGTCAGAACTTTATTTTACATTTATCGATGATTTTAATCATTTTGCACCAATAACAGTTTTAACATGTTTCCTTCTTGTTTTTAAAAACTTCTTTTCACAAGTTAAATAAAGTTATGAGAGGATTGAACATCTGGACTCATTTCCTGAACCTGAAACACTCAAGATTAATTCGTTAATGTTGATCGAGGTTGTTTCAGTCTGAGGCTGCGGACGTTCCTCAGACATGACCACAAACATCAGTCAACCTGAAGAACACACTGGAGGTTTATTGAGCGTTGGAACAAAACATTCAGCGACGTTTCGTTTAAATAAAGGTTCGTTCAGTTGATGACTTGAATGCTAATTTGTTCGGCTTTTATTTATAATATAAATACAACACGTTGATACAATCCATTTGGCTATATGAGCTCGTCTCTAGGAAGCTCAGGTTTCAAATACAGCAACACTAACGGACAAAAACCATTTCCTTAATTATCAAACACATTCAGAGAAACCTCCCAGCGTCGAGTTAAAATGCACCAACATGTGATGATGCTACATGCCAAGTACACGACCCTATACATCAAAGTGCAATGTCACAATGGGTTAATGCTAGAATTCATAATTCAGTAAATCTACTAAACACTTTTATGATTATTTCATTCGGAGTGCTGCTGCTCTTGGTTCAGGACATGCGTGAGTGGATTCACAACTCCCCAAAAAAGACAAGGATTAAAAAAAAAGGCACTTTCACATACACACACACTCACACACACACACGCACGTCACGTCTCATGTGAATCACCAGCCCGGTTGGAGGCCACATTCAGTGTGCTGTTCAAGTGTTTTTTTGGGCGTTTACACACGGAGCCCCACCCTGTTAGCTTATTGTGAATTTAAGGTTAACTAGTGACTTGAGTCTAACAAGCAAGTAAACCACTGTTCGGACACACACACACACGCACGCACACACACAGAAATACACACAGGAAGTGGCATGCTTCTTTGCACTCGCTTTCCAAACTTGCACTTGCGTGTTCTGGCACTCAGGGCAGGCATGAATTATCTATCGTCTATCACTATTCTAGTGCTTCTGCACTTAACAAGGGAGCAGAACAAGGGCAGGCAAGCAGGACACACACACACTCTCTCTCTCTCACACACACACACACACACACACAAACCAGAATAACACCACACACCCCCCCCCCCCCGTCCCAGAAAAGCTCAGTCCAACCTCCACCAGTCGACCATCACCCTGTTTGAAGCTCGGGTCCGGGCGTGGGTTTTTTTTTTTTTTTTTCCCCTCCGAGAAAACATAAAAAGGCTGTTTTTAAAAAAGTTTAGTGAGTCGCCGCAGCAGCTCTCTGAACATTCATTAAATGGCTGAACAGTCGTTAAATACAGGAAACATTCATTAAATATCTGGACGTTTGGCAAAGTAACGTGAGTTTGGTGTCACTGACGACCTCAAGAGGCGTTTTCGTGGTTTGAGGTGAAAGTGAGCGTAGCAGCTGAACCGAGTCGTAACATAAAAAAATAAGAAGTCTCACAGACGTCGTTGAACCAGTGTCCCTTCGCTCTGCCGCGTCCTCGTCCCTCCGACCCGTCGTTCCCTCGTCACAGATGCAGCAGCCAATCAGGATAGTTTTTTTTTGTTTTTTTTTTCAAAGAAAACAGCAGCTCTTCATCGTCATGACAGCACAGCCAACATTCACGTCACTGAAACTACATTTTACTGGAGCTGGACTTCAGTCCCCACGTCTCTCTGACTGTGACCTCGGACACAGGACGCTCCTTCCTTTAGCTAACCTTTGATAAATGCTTCAACACATGGAGAAAGAAAACTCCTACACACCTAGAGAGTACACACCGACCTGACAACACATAAATATCATGGCATATCATATCATAGCTCATATATTATATTTTATTACTACATTAAAACCCTCTCGTCTTTCTACCCTTTCTACCCTCATGTTGATTATAAACATTAAGCAGTACCCTGATCTCCTCTTCTGGCCCAGTTTTGGCCCGGGTCGGCCTGATTCGGCCTCTTATCGGCCTGGTTTGGCTCACATGGTGCAGGATTTGTCCAGTGGTGGGGGCAGAGGCGGGGTGCTGCTCTTAGGGGGGACTATCGGCTTGGGCCTCAGGGCGGGGGGTCTCAGCGGAGCCCCCATGCGGGCGGCTGCCACGGGCTTGAAAGAGCCCAGGGCGTCAGGGGAGGGGTTGGCGGGTCTGGGGGGTCCAGGCGGGGGCCCAGGGAGCGGGCTGATGGGGCTCAGAGGACTGAGGGGGCTCGGGGTGCCCGGGGTCCCGGGGGTCCCGGGGGTGCCCGGGGTTCCAGGCGTGCCCGGGGTGCTGGGGGTGCTGTGGGGGCTGGGAGACTCGGAGGAGCAGGTGGTGACGGGGCCGTTCTTCACCTGCTCCAGAGTGTCCAGCACCACGTCGGGCGCCGGCCGGCAGCCCTGACGCTCCAGCTGCCGCAGCTCGCCCAGCGCTACCGTCACCGTCTCCTCGATGTCCTGCAGGGGGAGCGAGGAGAAACTCAGACAAGCTAAACCAAAAATATGAAAATGACAAAATGATGCGTGTGTGTGCGTGCGTGCGTGCGTGCGTGTGTGTGTGTGTGTGTGTGTGTGTGTGTGTGTGTGTGTACCTGTGCCAGTGTGTCAGGGTCCAGTCCTCTGGTTCGATGGGAGTCACTGAAGCCGTGTTGCCCGCTGCTTGAGCGCCGGATGGGCGTGTCCTCTGGTCTTCGCAGCGAATCATGTCGGCTCACGGTCATCGTCACGGCAGCAGAGCGGCGGCGGCGTTCTGGGCTGTCGAGGGGCGGGGTCAAGCCCTGACCACGCCCCAGCAGCAGCTCCCTTGGACTGAAGTGACCCGTCACGGGCGGAGAGCTTCGCTCCATCACACTCCCGTTCCCGTGGTTGTCGTTGGAGCGGCCGAGCGGACGTCGGAACAAACCGTCGGTTCTCTTCCTCCTGTGACTGAGATCAGGACGAGCGGACAACATGACATCATCAGCTGCTAAATAATAAAACAATCAAACAATTAAAATAAGAAATAAAGAAAAGTAAAAAGACGAAGAGAAGACGATGAATTCACTTTTACTTTCGACTGTTGCAGAGAAGTTGTCGTGATGATTGAGGCAAACGACAGCGGTGGAAAGAAACTCATTAACTCAAGTACTTTGTACTTGACCTTGTATGTACTTGTGTATTTCTATTTCATTGACCTTTAAGTACATTTTACTACTACTACTACTACTAATAATAATAATAATATTAATATTAATATTAACACCCGTTTGAATTCAGGACTTTAAATGGCGCCTGTTCTTCTGAATATTTCTTCCAGGGGTTTGTTCTCTACAGTCGGACTTTTGTCTCACATCTTCACACGTGTGTTGTCGGGGACGACTGTGAACATGGAAGTAGAGATGCTGCTTTCAGGCGATGAAGCGAGTCACATGAGAAACAGCTTCGAGAACAGCGCGATGAAATTCTCAGGTATTTTTAGAGGTGAGAGAACAAGATGGCGAACGTGTTCTCCCTCTGCTCTCTTGATAACGGAAGGTGTCTTACATCACGGACCTGTTAAAGGTCTCCGGAGGTCTGATGTCGGTGGGGGAGCTCAGTTCGCTCCTGGACCTCTTGTCGTCGGTGCTGCTGCTGCCGCCGTCGCTGTCCGCCTTCTGACTGAGAGTGTCGGACATGACGTCGGCCCTGAGGACGAAAGAGGAGACGCTCTGAATTCAAGTTGAAACCGGAGGAGCTGAAGCAACAGAGGAGTCCGATCATCAATTAAACGATCAATAGCTTGAGGTTAGTGACTCTGTTCATCAACAGGACGTGAAGTCGAGCGGGGAAAACAAGTCGTCACTGAGCAGAACGAGACACTTGTGTTGAGAAGAAGCTGAGAATCTGGTTTCATGGTGAAAATACATTTTTAGAAATAAAATAAAGTGATTAAAGGAACGAACATCTTTAATGGTGTGAATTAATTTCACCTGTGCAGCGAGAAAAGGTTGTTTGTGACCTATACTGCGGCCAACCACCAGGGGGCGATCGAGGTGTTTTGGCTTCAGTCGTGGGAGCCGCCACGTGGTCGTTCACAAGAACGTATTAAATTCTATCTGTCACAGTGTCACAACTGAAATTAAAGGGATCTTCAGTAAAAACGTGTGAAAAATATTCGAAAGCGTACGAATGTTCTCGGCCGTGCACTCGCCTGTCCTTCAGCACGATGTACTGATGAGGCACCAGGCCGTGGTTGCCGTTGAGTCGCCCCTCCCACCAGTCATGTGACGCTCGTTGGAAGAGCTGCAGCGACGCTCCCTTCTTGAAGGAGAGCTCGCGGCCGGAGCGGCCCACGTAGTCGAACCTCGCCACCGCCTCCACGCCCTCGCCCTCTGCCGTGAGAGAGAGAGAGAGAGAGAGAGAGAGGATGAAAGAAGATAAGGGAGGTGAAAATAGAGGTGAACCTGAACTTGTCAATCAGCCGTCTCTGAGGGCTTTGTTCCTCCCACGGCCCGACCAATCAGAGGAGGGCGTTTAAAAAAAAAAGTCTATTCTGGTAAATCAGATGGGGAGAGGAGGAGAGGAGAGGAGAGGAGGAGGGAGGGATTGGAGAAGGCACTGAGGGAGCGAGGGAGGGAAGGAGAGAGAGTGGTGGTGGTTGGGGGTGTGTGTCGCCATGGCTGCAGTTGCCTTGGCAACCCCTCTCCACCAGGAGACAGCGGGATGGGAGAGCGTGGGCGATTGTGTGAAGGTCAGGGGTCAGGCGTACCCTCGTCGCTGGTCTGGGTCTCGGTGCCGGCGTCGGGCTCGGCCTCCTCCAGCGCTCCCGGCTCGCTGAACGGACTCTCGCTGGCGGGAGAGAGGAGAGAGAGAGAGATGCTGTTCATTCCTTCATTCAACGTGGAAACAAAGGGAGGAGGAGGAGGAGGAGGAGGAGGAGGAGGAGGAGGAGGAGGAGGCGCTGCTGAGTTCACAGTCTGTCAATGAAACGTCTTCAGCGTCTCCTGGTCTGTGGGTCTCACCAGTACTGATCTCCGGTCATGCACTTCTCGTAAACCGGCCCGGGCAGGTCCTTGGTGTCGGGGAAGATGTTGTCGTGGTGCAGGATGACGGTTTTGACGACCTCGTTCACGTGCGCCTGACACGCCACCTGGTCCAGCGTGTCCGGCGTGGGCAGGAGGGTGGGGCCAAACACGATGGCCAAGTTCCCAGCGTCCATCATGTTCTCATCGCTGTACTGGGAAAGACTGAGAGGACAGAAACACTTTACTCTTAATAACACGGTGTCGTGTCGTCAACAGATATTTACGGGACATTTTAAGGGACACGTGGATTTTATTCAAAGTTATGAAAGTTGTTCCAGGTTGTAAATGTTCTGCACGGTTGTGTTTTCAGGATGTTGTTGTTTCCAGCTCCTGCAGGAAGTTAAATATCAATGGAAATAAAAACAGCGTGTCTGAACCACGCTGACGGTGAATGAACCTCGTGGCCTTGCTAATAAACACGTCAATAAATCCAGCGGATGCATCACACCTGCACATCACACGCCTCCATCCCAACTGATCTCTCATCCTGTTTTCATGCGAGAGGCTGCGCAGACTCAACGAGCTCAGTTTTATCGTCTCTACTCGATGTGAGCGAGCAAACCTTCGCCCCCTCGCTGCAGAAGAGCTTTATGGCCTCTTCCACCTATCGTCAGGCTTTAACGCCACGCGGGAACTCTGGGAAAATGGAGAGAATTGAGCGATTGTCATTAACTGTGAAGTGGCTGGTTGCGTGTGAGCGGATACTCACTGGTTGAGGAAGGCGAACAGATAACGCATCACCACCAGCGTCGCCCTCGGGACGCCCAGGAGGATCTTACGGACGCACTGCGCTCTCTCGTAAAGGTTTTCTATTCCTGCAGCAGAGTAAAAAACACAGTCAAGACTTCCACCGCCTCACAGAGAGAGAAGCAGCCGGCTCCATATCTCTGCTGAAGAGGGGATGACTTTCAGAAAGACAAAGGGACAATAATGAGACGCAGAGACAAAGGAAGTGAGAGGGGAAGCGAGTGTGAGCTGAAGACCGAGAGAGAGAGAGAGAGACGCTCTGGGCTTCACAGCAGCAGCTCTGTGCAGATGGAAGTTAATTCTCCAGGTCACAGAAAAGCTGCTTTCAGACTCGTCAACTCTAGAAAAAAGTGATCCTGACTTTCTCCAGAGTTCGTGTTTGTCCTGTGAAGACTCTCGCTCTGGAATCTCCTCGTCTTCGCCTCCTACGTGTGCGACTCCTCTTCTCCTCTACACGTCCACTGGGACGTTTTCTCATTTTACTAAGGGACTTGGCAGTAAAAGGAAAATATCCGGAGCAACAGACTTTGTTCTTACATTCGGCCCCTCTGGAGAATTTCAGGAGAATACCCAGAGTGCATTGCAGGTCTGAAAGCAGCTCAAGTGTCTCGCACATCAACAGTGAAAAAGACGACTTCACTCACGGACGCAGGAGATGAGGTCGTTGAATCTCTCCTTGGGGAACAGCGGGTTCTCCAAACCCCTGAAGTAGAGCTTCAACACTCCAGCCACAGAGTTGATGTCATGGTTGCTCTCCTCGTCAATCAGCGGGTCGTTACCTGAGCGAGACGCACAACAAGTCAACCGTGGTTTTAACCCCACGGGGCTGTCGAACGTGCGACCTTCAGGTGACCTCTCACCTCTTTCGAAGGAGTTCTTGATATCGTTGACCTCCACCTGAGATCCTGACACCCGGAATATGCCCTGATGCTGGAGACCTGTTGGGAACACAACACATCTAGTTTGAAATATATTTGTTACGAGATCGTAGATTCGACATCGACGTCTAAGTGACTAGAACCCACCGTGTAGATTGATGTAGCGGATGCAGCTCTCCACCAGCAGGGGTATGGCTTTGGTTGAGTCCTAGAAACACAACTCGTGTTAGTTACGGTTGATGCTTTACTTCATATTCACCTCTTTGGATTGTGAGACGGTGGAGGGGAGAGTCTACCTGGTGTTTGCTGTGAGAGTTCTTACGCCCACGACTGAAACAGACAGAAGAGGAGAGGGAGAGTCTCACTGTCACAGTGAAGTTGCATGATGGGAAATAACAGTTATCATTAACGTGAGGAGAAAATGTGCACTGAGGCATGAAATGAGGCTTCACCTCGTGGTTAGCAGATCAGCTTTATAACCTGCAGGAAGAGACAGGAGGAGTTTTAAAGGTCAGAGATGATGATGATGATGATGATGATGGTGGTGGTTGTGTGTTTGTGTGACACACTTTGTGTCGGTCTCACCTTCTGCTAAAGCTTTCGTCAGGATGTCGTGTTTGGCCTGAAGTTTGGAAATGAGGTTACTCCCCTCCAGATACTCGCGGAACTTCTGAGGATTGACAAAATAAAAACACTGGTCTCAGTGTGCGTCCCGCTGTTTGGACTTGCTCTAAATGTGTTGCTGTTCTCACGTTGAAGTAGAACAGCTCCGTCTCCTGATGATTGGCCCGTCTCTTGGCCAGACTCGGTTTGTTCAAGTAACCGTCCGACACGCTGGACTTGACCGACTCGGAGGACGGGCTGTGGGTGAAGCTCTGGGAGACGTCGTAGTTGTCCAGAACCGTCACGTCCTGCAGCGTCGTCAGGGTCGCACCCCAGGTCTTCTTCACCTGGAGAGGGGAAAGAAAACAGAGACAAAAAGAGGACGATTGTCCCTTTGAGTTTTGTTTAAACATCATTATGATCAATGTCTCTGCCTGAACGTCAAATATATAAATCTCCTAAATATCAATCACATCAGGAGAAGAAAAGCTTTTACTTTGCATCACTGAGAAACTGAAGTTTGATAGAAACAGGTCCTGAGCTGCACGTCAAACTATTTTCCCACTTTACCACAGAATCTAACTTCTGCTCTCTGCTGACTCTGTGCAGAAGCTCGACTTTGTAAAAATCAAAAATGATTTCCTTCAGTGCACACGGCTTCACGGATCACGAGATATGAATTATGGATTTGTAATTGTTTCACGGTGGCGTTTCATTTTCCTAAATGTTTGATGAAGAGTGTGAGCGCTCAAGCGCAACTGCTACGACGCAGACTCAGTGCGTTTGTATTTGCAGCAAAGATATCAGCTGCAAAAGTGTTTGTGTGCAATAACCAGGGCGCGTTTACGTGCGTTCATGTTTGTGTGTTTAATGAATCCACACTCTTCTGGTTCCTCTGCCCTCCGAGGTGAGTCGACGGCTGCTGACAACAGAGGAGGCCACGGCCGCAGCAGCTCGTCGCCTTCAGATGGTGCCAGTTTATTTTTGGAGGCTGCATCTGTTACATGATCACCTCATTAAAAGTGTGTGAATCCTCTTAACTGTTTGTTACTGTCAGAAAATAACGTCTGAATTTCTCATCAGAAGCTTTTAGCAGAGGACGAAGTGTCAGAAGCTGGAGGGACAGAGGCGGGACGCTCTGACACTGGATCAGTGTATTGTTGTTGTGTTTTTGTGCGATGGACTGACAACATGTCCAGGTCGACGTCCTCCAGATGGATCGATGGACACTTGTGCGTCTCACCTCTTCATTCTCGATCTTCAGCGACGCCAGGCGGGTCTGGAGCTGAGTGAGACGGAGGGAGAGCTCGGCCTGGACCTGAGGCTGGGAGGCGATCTGGGTCACCTGACAGGAAGCGAGACGACAACGAGGCGATCAGAGAAAACTCCAGAAACTATTCAGAGAAACTGAGCGTCTGAGTGAAAATCAAATGCAGAGGAAGAGGAAACTGTCGACGTTTGTGAGGAAGAGTAATGTCTCTAATTCTCTGTGATAAATATTGAAACATATTTATTCTTAGATTTTTGAAAAACAATCTCTCGACTCTCTTTCTTTTCTTCTGCCTCCTGAAATAAATCAAACTTCAACTTCCAGATGTTTTTACAAACTCGATGTACTGACTGCGTCGCCCATGTGGGCCTGGAAGCTGAAGCGCTGCGGGGGGCAGAAGGCGGTGGGGTAGAGGCCCAGCAGACGCTGCCTGTCGCGGGCGGGGTCCAGGCCCTCGACGGCGCCCTCCAGCACCTCCAGCCCCGCCCTCCTGGAGGCCTCAAGGCTCAGTTCGGCTGATAGGTAGGTCTTCAGAGCCCGACTCAGACTGGAGTGGTACCCTAGGTCACAACACTGGGTGGAGGGACAGTAGGAGTACATGTGTAATATAACCATATACAGTAGAGATGACAGAGGACGATTTGAGATCTTCAGTGAACGTCTACTCACGTCTATGATGTCCGGCAGGTCGTGGATGTAATATTTGAACACGGAGGCGTTAGTGGCCTCCAGCGTCAGCAGGTACTCGTTCCTCGCTTTAAGAGCCTTCAGTTTGTTCTCCGAGTACTTTGCCTTCCGCTGGCAGAGACAGAAACAGACATGACAACATGACGCTATCAATCACATCTGCAGAGGTTCATGTGGTGAATGGACGTGACCTCGTACCTTCTCTCTCATCTTCTCCATCTTGCGTGCGGCGTTGCGTCTCTGGTGGCGCTCCTCTATCCGCAGGCCGAACACAGGCTCCACCCCTCCGCCCGTCCCCGACACGCCCTTCACGCGGCCCTCCTGACGCTCCGCCTCACGCAGCTTGGTCTCCGCGTTGACCGTCTCCGAGTGGTACATGTGATATGTCTTCATCACCTGGGTAACAGAAGCCCTCATTAACACAAACGCTCAGTCAGGGACGACGGCTTTTATTCGTCGAGGTCCAAACTAATCTGATTTCCAGAGTTTGGACGAGAAGCTTTGAAAAGACACATATTTATATTAAAAATAAAGTTGCACATCACCAGACGTTAAAAGTTTTCAGGGCTCTCTGTCCCTCTGCTCCACTTACGGTGTAAAGCTCGTTCAGGAGCTTCATGAGATCTTCCTGAAGCTGGAAGATGATCTCTTTACTCTGAAAGACACAAGCAGGAGGGAAACATCCGGTGAATACACGCACGAGGTAAAATGATTCACCAGCGTCTGCGTCACGTTCTAAAGATCAGGGGAGATTATTCTAACGATTTGAATGTCGTCCATTACTTATTTACAGTCGCTCAGATAAACGCTGAGCTCTGCAGGTTCATCTCTATCGTGAAGATATTTATTACATCTGGTTAAAGGAAGAATCGGAGTATAAATCAAAGTATAACGCTAGAGTGAAGTACTTCCACCACTGCACGCTCTGCATCTTCAAACAGCGTCTTTAAGTAGAAGAGTTGATTCTAATGCAAAGTAAAGTCTGTGCTCCCCTGGGCCTCCCTGCGCCTCCTCACAGTTTAGCAAATTAAACACACGTGCACGCGCGGCACCTCCTCCAACTTTAGCTCCGCGTGTTCATTATTCATCTTCCGGCTCGTCTTTTATTCATGTTGACTAAAGTGCAGCGGCTGCCGGCAGCTCCAAACAGTACGACCCCGTCGCTTCCCCGTCTTCAAGCATCCTCTCAGAAAGCTGGAGGAAAGGGGCGGACCGCTGCGTGGCCATGGCGACAGGCTCAGCTGATGTTTCCTCCGCGGGCGCTGTGGGATTCATTCATCCTGGAATTCCTCAGTCATTTTGGCTTAATGTAATATTAATGTGGCACCGGGCCGCCACATAACTCCTTCCTCCAGACCGGTCGGCTGTTAAATGCATGAGAGTGAAATTCGCTCTGAGCGCAGGCGGCGGAGCGCTGCTTCATTTCCCTCGTTTCACTTATGAATTCATTTGTTGGTGTGTGTGGTCAGGTCCTCTTATTTATGTGGAGCTGTCGGGCCGTCCTGATGGAGCACCAGTGTTTCTCCACTCTGACACAGATGGTGCTCGGGTCCTTCACAGGGAAACAAAATGAAAACAGTCTCACCCTCTTCAGCAGGCGTGCCGAGTCCTCGCTGATGTGTGTGAGGCGCGTGATGACGTTGTTCAGGTAGAGGTCGCTGAGCGTCGCGTGGTCCTTACTCTCCCTCCTCACCTGGGAAGAAGAAGAAAAAAACAGAAGTGAGGAACATCTCGGCTTCTTGTCGTGAAAGAGTCGGAGGCAGAAACAAACCTGGTTCAGCAGCAGGTACCAGCAGTTGACCGGAGAAAGCAGATTCTGATCTTTTCTGAAAGAGAGACGGATCGTTTAAAACAGAGCAAGAACACACACACACACACA